AGCCGGTTCTTCAGTTGTTATTCTTGTTATCATTTGTTTTGGTTTTTTTCTTTGTGCAGTTCATTCTATTATTAGGAGATTTAACGTACGTATTTAATAATATGTTCATCTTTTCAATTAGTGTCAAAATATTTACTTAATCCATTGGTATTGTGGATCCCGGTTTTGAATTACCTATATCCAGTTTATTCAAACAGGTTGTTAACAGATCTCCTGTTCTTTCCGAATTGCTTGACTGTATCATTAAGATTATTTTGTGTACTCAAACGTACGCTTAAGTGAAGAATGAAAAATGTTTTATTTTCACTGGATTATTATTCACTATCACATTATGAATACTTCCGGGCGATTATCAAAAGTGAACGAATATTCGAGACAGTAAATATAATATACTCAATGAATGCATGTAAAAAACATGAGAAGGAGACATTTGCTGAAGTTAGGTTTATGGGAAGAATGACAATTCATGATGAAAATGGTATCTTTTTTGGATTCAAAATCTGATGAGGAAATCTTCAACGTATTAAACATACAGAAATTATTAACTCGCAATCAGTGCAATTAGAAGCTCAACTAACATAAAACATCCGAAACAAATCAATACATTTCGTAAACATACAAATATGTCGCAATAAATGCCAAATACAATCGAGTACTAACAAAGTCAAAGCTACAGCTATAACTACAAGTCGTCTAGCAACCATCATTTTATCGCAACTGTTTACCTCAGATCAATGAGGTTTTCAAACAGCAACAGAACATGAATCATTAGAATCATCTGATCTTACCAAATGAGGTAGAGATTTGCAGATCTATGAAATAACTCGAATATTTTCGCAAAAATGAAATCTTCTTAAAAAGAGAACGTATTTCACAAGGTCCAATGACTTCAGCAAGCAATAAACATATCGTGGGATCCAAATGGCTATCAATTGAAAGCTCTCTTCGAACAAGTTATCTTCTAAGCATTCCACTAGATTACATATACCATCAGATTCTTCAAATGTTCAAAAATTACTTCTACAGATCCATCAGTTCAACTACTTTCTTCTCGATTCATATTCTATAGAATTTTGCCAAGACTTCAGTGTTTCATTTCATTATTGCTTCACTCAATTTATCGAACAATCACTAATCATTCTTCAATAACTAACTAACTTTCTTAATGATATTTACATTGTTAAAATGATTCAACGACGGTTTCCCGTACTTAACTTCAGCACGATGCAAGAAGGCCACAACCATTGTACTCACAACTTGATCGAAGAAAATATGCGCTAAATGCGAGTGAAATATGGATTTGAACTCGAATATCAGTGCAAAATGCAACTGACATGAGCGTTTATTCGTTCTTCGGGCGACAGCTGCACTAACATCGTGGAACTCCCACGTTGTGTCCAGCAATTTAAATAAACGACCATCCGTACAAACAGACTGAAACGTCCATAATTAAAAACATTATCTGGGCAGTATTTTTTTGAAAATAAAACTGCTCAGCCTTGTTAAATCCAAAATTCGAAGAACTGTTGAAGAAATAACGCTTAAGGAAGTAAAAGAGAATCGGACAATCTCATTTCAAGGAATGGAAACACGAAAAAGATGATAGCAAAAATGCACGATCTCCTCACTCGAACAATATTCGGCTTGTTGGTAGTGATTCGTGATGAATACGTTTCCAAAATTGGTGGAAAGCCAATCTGCAAATCCGCGGTGAATAGATTCGGTGTAATCACCTGAAAGTTGTCACCATAAATTAATTTTAAATCAACTGAAAATTGTCTAAAATGAAACTAACAACTCAACTAACATTTCAGTTCTTAAAACGAATCGTAAAGCAAAAGCAAAAAAGAAAAAAAACAAAAAACTTCAACAACTAAAACAATCACCTTAATTGATGCATCCCGACACCACGGTACAAACTGAGGATATTCCTTAACGTTCGCGACAACATCGTACATCTCTTCAGCTGTGTAACTGAAAAGATCCCACAAAAATCACACGAAGCAAGAGAATCTCCTAATATTGCAACCAAATACGAATCACTGAAAGAATTCTCTATGAAATTCGGCCACATTCTCATATAATCACATACATATATTCTCTATAATTTACCACTTTTCGCAAAAAATAATCAAAATCAATATTTCAGTATCGATGAGAATCTCATCAAAAGCTGCTCGAATCCCACTCAATCGAAATTTCTCGTTTAAAATCGCACGAAATGTTCAATATCATACCCCACTAAACGTCTCTCCTCGTATTCTTTTCGACGTGGATCTGATGAAGATGCGAATGGATTCGGTGGTGTGAACAGGCACCGTCGAGGTGAAACCGTAAAAAATAACCGTCGTAAAAGCATTACCTTCAAACATCGCAAGCAATAAATCAATCACATAATTTGATGGAATACTCGAAACCCAATCGTGCGCCCGCATATCAAGAAACACCATAAATCGAGAAACCTAATTAACTATCCACCGAATTCTTCATAGCGATATTTTAGAGGTCATATTACAATTCCTGCAGAATTATCTTATTGATAATTCTTAACTCTGATCTCGATTCTTCGTACGTATA